AAAAAAAAACATGAACGACAATAACAAAACCCAGTTTGCTGGGCATGGTGGTGCACGCCTGCAGTCCCAGCTACTTGGGAGGCTGAGGCAGGAGAATCGCTTGAACCTGAGAGGCAGAGGTTGCAGTGAGCTGAGATCACACCACTGCACTCCAGCCTGGGTGACAGAGTAAGACTGCATCTCAAAACAAAACAAAACAAAACAATTGCTATCCTATTCCAAACCTGAAATCTATAGATCAAGGGATGAATTTATTTTTATTTTATTTTTGAGTTGGAGTCTCACTCTGTTGCCCAGGTTAGAGTGCAGTGACAATCTCAGTTCACTGCAACTTCTTGGTTTCAAGGAATTCTCCTGCCTCAGCCTCCTGAGTAGCTGGGATTACAGGTGTGAGCCACCGCATCCTGCCTAATTTTTGTATTTTTAGTAGAGATGGGTTTCACCATGTTGGCCAGGCTGGTCTCAAACTCCTGACCTCAAGTGATCTGCCCGCCTCAGCCTCCCTAAGTGCTGGGATTACAGGCTTGAGCTACTGTGCCCAGCCTCAATGTACTAATTTAACCTCCTTCAACTTGCCACCCATCCCCACACTGTTCTGAGATTTAGATATAGAGTCATCCTCTTGTATAGATGCACCACAGCCGCTGAGAAAGAGCATTTAGCTTGCTCTGAAGGGAAGTTAATTGCAGATGCACTGCCAGGATCTTTGTCCTCTTGGGGCACAGTCAGGCTACTTCCCTCAGAAACGATCAGCAGCTCCCCTCTGTTTTCAGAGTACAGCCCAAACCTTTGGGTTTGACATTTAAGGCCCTATGTGATCCATTTCCAAACTTTTACTCAGTTTTAGAGCCGAAGTTTGTCTCTCATCCTGGGTCTTCTTTTCCTTGCGTACGTTCTGCACTTTGCCCTATCTGCATATGTTCCTGCTCACCCTTGGTGTGGCTTTTCACCTGTTGCCCACCTGTGAGACGTCACTCATCGTCTGCAGAAGTCTGACCTGCAGACCCTGACTCAACGACGGATGAATGAATGCACTCTCACACCATTACTGTGTTCCAAGTGGGCTAGGGATGGCCATTGGCTACTTTCAGAGGGCAAAATGCAACCAATCAACCCAGACCCTCTGTCTGTCCACACATTTATTCCCCGAAGATTTTACAACAGAGGTTCTAAGTTAACACACTTGTGGATAATTAACATGGTTAAAAGAGTGGTTATACGACTGACAAAAGCTTTAGGTTCAGGGGCCCAGAGTAAAAGCTATCAACAGGTAATTCCCCTTTGATCTTCCCCATCCAGCACAAAGTTAACCTGAGTAAACAGAGTAGAGATGAATGGGTGTGGGGTAAGCCTTTTGATGGGTCTCTATCTCTTTCTAACTTAATGGACTGACTGGCTGCCTTAGGCCTGCGGCAATAAAACCTTTCAGCTTTCCAAAAGGTTTGAGACTATATAACTTTCCCTATTTTCCATAATAGTTTGCTTCCACCCCGAGTGAACAGCAACATTTCCCCCTTGTTTTCAACACTATCAGGCTTTGCTGTCTGCCAGCCAGTGATTGGTTCAGCTATGGGTCTGTCAGGTGATTCGGTCATTGCTTTCATTCCAGCTTTGCATCCTAGGATTAATAAATAACATAAGACAATTATGACTACAATTAGCAACAGTTGTTTCCAGTTAAAGAGTGACTTGCAGGAATGGGGGTCTAACCAGGAGAGAGGATTTTGCACACCTTTCCATATTTTTGACCAGATTATCCACAAAAGCAGCTGTTTGTACTGACTCAGTAATAGAGCCACTGCAACGCTGGCTGTTGTCAGGATGACCATGGCTGGGAGTATAGAAGCTAGAAGTATAACTATGAATCTTTTATGTTTGACCTATAGTATTACTTGGCATTTCAGTTTACTATATGACATTAATGAGAAACTTTACGAGAGGCATGTTAATCCTTTTTAGTTAAGCAGTTGCCTTGTTAGAGGCTGTGAAGGGGGTGTTAGTTTAAGTTACAGAGCAGAAAAATTGTGGATTAGAAGATGAGCTTGATAGAGTGTAGCAAGTACAGGTTGCAAGCAAAGTGAAAGAATAAAAAACAAATCCTAAGCAGGATTCACTTAGCTTTTTGCGTTGTCCTCTTCAGCATTCCTCAGGTGAAGTTTGGGGCTTATGTGGTCTAAGAAAGCTGCATCGTGCTGCAGGGTTTCTCTCAGGCTGGCTTAGGTTTTTACTTCTTTCCATCCTTTAACGAGCATGCAGTTTTTTGGCTGGTGCTGGTATGCTGGAAATTCTAGTAGTTTTGTCTGTGCTGAGAGACTTTTTATAATTTTTGTAAAAGAACAGGTTAGTGCTTTAAGAAAAACGTTGCCAGTTTACAGAAAAACTGGATATTTCTTTAACTTTTAACCAATATGTTTACACACAGAATTCCTTTTACAATTAATGTTTTAAAACTTGCTTAGACCTTTACAACAAAATTTATACAACCTACTTGCATAAATTCCCTTTTATAACATTTTTCACAACTTTCACTGACAACTTGGACATGCCTTAACATCTTTTGACTTTGTTTTACAACCTTCCTTACCTCTTTCTTTTTCTCTCTCTCTTACTGATCCTTTCTTTCTATTTCTCTTTTTGATTTTTCTGTTTCTATGTGTGTTGGTTAAGCAGTGATGTTATCACTGGTAAGCCTGCTTGTCCATTGCCGTAAACTAATAGGCCAGGCAGTGAGCTATAGACTTAAAGCTGCTTTAAGATTTTGTAGTAGGGCCGGGCACGGTGGCTCAAGCCTGTAATCCCAGCACTTTGGGAGGCCAAGGCGGGTGGATCACGAGGTCAAGAGATTGAGACCATCCTGGTCAACATGGTGAAACCCCGTCTCTACTAAAAATACAAAAAATTAGCTGGGCATGGTGGTGCGTGCCTGTAATCCCAGCTACTCAGGAGGCTGAGGCAGGAGAATTGCCTGAACCCAGGAGGCGGAGGTTGCGGTGAGCCGAGATCGCGCCATTGCACTCCAGCCTGGGTAACATGAGTGAAACTCCGTCTCAAAAAAAAAAAAAAAAAATATTTTGTAGTAGATAAACTGAGGAAGCCAACTTACTTACTATATTTATAAGCTGAGCAGAGAAAGTTTTTAATGCTAGTATCACAGCTTTAATTTCAACTCTTTAACTGCTAGTAAACTTAGATTGGGTGATTGAATTACGTGGTTTTTACCAGACTTTAGATTTTCTTTGTTTACTTGACCTATTCAGCAAACAGTGTTAAAGCATTAGGTACGGAGAAGGGCAATACTACTTTAAATTGTTTTTTCCTTAAAGGAATCTTGATGATATTAGGATTAACTTAACAATTGACTGCAGTAATCGTTCAAATGGCAAGCTGAAATTGGTGACATGAAGTTTAAAAGGAAATTTGAAAATATCTCTAGAAGCAAAGACTCAAAGAATATACTTTAACCATGTGATTAAAGTTATAGGCAGAATAGCTTAAACCTTGCCATTGAGTTTTCAGGCTGACCAAGTTTATGGACTTTAAATTAGCAAACTGTTCTGAAAACAATGATTTACTAGTTGAGCCAAGACTATCTTTAATCCATCTTTCGTGCATGTGTTTTCACCACACTCACATACAAATTTCTTTTACCTTTTGAGAAATGGGCACAACATTTTTACTTCTTAATTCAATAATTATTATTTAACTTGGCTTAAAGTTTTCCTTTAAAGGATAATGAGTGGTTTTACATACTTAGTTTTTAATTGCTCTTTAACTTATTTGTGGGCTTTTTTAAATAGCTGATTGAAATTTATCATCTAAATTTACAAAATTAAGGGTAAATAAGGCTTGTGCTAATAGTGCTGCTTTTAAGATAGAAAACAGGTTTTGCAACTTATCAGTCAGGAAATTCTTTTCCAGTGAGGAGCAAGGCTATATGGCTGGCTTTTAATTGCTTCTACTAATTCATGGGCTTGCTGTAATTTCTCTCCCTTTAGAGATTACTGCTTTACTTAATTTGAATTTTAAAAGAGCTATGTTAAGAATAAGGTTGGAATAACAACAGTGGCTAATGTTAGCAAAAGGTTTTACAAATCCTTAAATTTTACTTAAATCTTAGCAGAGAATTACAGTTTGGGATGTTGCTCATATACAAAGAACACATGAAATTTCATGTGGGATACATGTGTGACCCCGCCCAGCTGCTGCTTGCTGCTTGCTGCTTTCGGCTTGCTCTGCTCCCTCCTCCCGCCTGGGCTGCGGCTGCCAGCCTGGGTGGAGCTTCCCTGCAGCGGAGCCTTTTCTCCCTTTTTTTCCCTTTCACTTGGCTGCGTGTCTTTAGCCTGAAATGCCTTTTTCTTATCTTTTTATATACAAACACCTGATTTTCTTGCCAATTATCAATTACTGGGCAGGCTAAGAGTTTCTTTTGTAATGCCACTTGCTTAAAACAATTTCCTATAGTTGTAGCATTTCCTTTGTCCCTTTTCCTATTTATTAGATGCCTCTGTGCATAATTCCTCCCGTGTTCCCAGAGCTTTACGTCCAGCATGCCTACGGGCCTTGGGAAACAGCAGTTTGAATTATGTTTCTTAGTGGAGCTTGATATGTTTCTGTTGCACTGATAACTGCTGTCCCATGCTGAAGCCCTAACCTGAAACAGTGCCTCCCCAAGCTTGGCAATTCCCAGTGGATACCGAAGACTTACTTCTACTTTACCTGACCTGACTGCACGGCCCTCTTTACTTTCTGGTCTCGGGAGATCTGCTGTTTCTTCTTTCCTTCTTCACGGTGATCAGTCACCACCTGAGACGTTGCTCCCCATCTGTGGAAGTCTGACCTGCAGACCCTGACTCAACGATGGATGAATGAGTGCACTCTCACACCATTACAGTGTTTCAAGTGGGCTAGGGATGGCCATTGGCTGCTTTCAGAGGGTGAAATGCAACCAATCAACCCAGACCCTCTGTCTGTCCACACATTTATTCCCCCAAGATTTTACAACAGAGGTTCTAAGTTAACACACTTGTGGATAATTAACATGGTTAGACAAGTGGTTGAGTGGTCTAACTGACAAAAGCTTTAGGTTCCAGGGCCCAGAGTAAATGTTATTAACAGGTAATTCCCCTTTGATCTTCCCCATCCAGCACAAAGCTAACGTGAGTGGAAATGAATGGGTGTGGGGTAAGCCCTTTGATGGGTCTCCGTCTCTTTCTAACTTAATGGACTGGCTGGCTGCCTTCAGTCTTCCCCAATAAAACCTTTTGGCCTCCCAAAAGGTTTGAGACTGTAATCTATAACTTTCCCTAAGTATTTTCCGTAATATTTTCCCACCACCCCAAGCGAATAGCAACACGTGATTTCGCCAGGATTCTGTCCCCCTCACATGGATATGAGGCCCATGTAATTGTCAGAACCCTGAGCTTATGCAGGCCCCACACTTGGTTTAATGTTCTGCTTTCACTGTTTTGAAATTCTTAATAATTGATGAACAAAGTCCCCAACATTTTTTTTTTTTTTCCCATTCTGGCTTCTCAACAAGTCCCCATATTTTTATTTTGCAGTGGTTCCTACAAATTAGGTAGGTGCTCCTGACTGCCACAGTAGATCTAGGATAGAGCCCAAGATTTCACATTTCTGACAAGATCCCAGGTGATGCTGATGCCTCTGGTCCGTGGGTCACACTTTGAGTAGCAAGGCTCAGTCTAAAGTGTGTTAGACCTAACAACTTGGAAGGAACCTGAAAGACAGTATGGAGCTGAAGTCCCCGGCAGCTGAAATACTCATCACAAGCTGTTAAGTGAGACATAAATTTGGATATTTTTTTAACATTCTGTATTTTGGAGTATCTTTGTTAAAGCAAGTTAGCCTTACCCTAACTAAAGGAAGTGAAGGAGAGCAGGTCGCACAGTTCCGTCCTTTTCTAATTTTGGAAAAAATTTTGGAAAAAGCCTACAAGGCTTTTTTTGAGTGGTCAAATCCAAGCTCATGCTCTCTGGTTCGCTTCGTCCAGTGCTGGGGGCGTGGAGATGCTGACTGGAATGACCTTACTGATCTGAAGGGCTGGAGACTGACTCCGGAAGAAGACCTCTTAGACTTCTAGCCCAGACCATGCAGTGCAGCCCAACTTAACCAGAGTTCTGTTTTGAAGTTTGGGACCAAACCCCAACCAACAATCGAGTACTGGTCATTGTCGTCAGAACTTATCTCCACTGGGGACCTTGTGGGTTTGATTGGGCATAAGATTCATATATTCCTTGTATCCCCTAACCATAAAGGCCATCATATTACCCTCATTTTACCCCAACCTCTAACAAAGTGCCTTTGTTGTAAGAAAACAAAAACAAGTTATTTTAAGCAAAAGATGATGTAATGTGTTACAATCTTATTGCTAGGAATGACACCAGGTCCCTAAACCTATTACCGCCCCATAGCATCCCTAAATTCCTTCAGTGTCTTATGGAGCACTGTGCTCCAGATCATGATCCCCCTGGGAGTGGCATCTGTGTGGGACTGCAAGGGTTATGGTGGGTTTCCTTAGTCCATGTGGTTTACACTTCTCTATCTCTCCCAGCCGCCCTGCCCCTCTTCCCATCTTGGCTTCCCTACCCAGTATAGTTTCTTCTTGTCTCTTTTATTCTCAGTCTAAGATCCAATCCATTTCTTTGTTCCCAAGTGAACTTGCTGTGTCCAGACTTAACTTTCAAAAAGCAAAGCTTTGCGTTTTGTATCAGATGCAGCCTATCAACTACTTCAGACCTTCTGGCCCCCTCTTCTTTCTCCAGCCACTGCTACAGTGATGAGTTCCACCACAGGCTTTGATTCATTTCATGTAGGTACAACCTGGCAGCACCTTGCTTTGGGTCTGCTCCATGGACGTTCTGTTTCCTATTCCAGGTAGATCCGCTGGACACTCACATGTGCCTAGACAAGAAATGCAGAAAAGTTAGCAGTGGTGGGGCCACCCTTGACCAAAGGGAGATGGAGGCCAGTTGCTAGGTGCCTTTCTTTTTGGATTCCTGATGGAGAGCACTGAGACACTTCTTATACGATGTTCCTCTGAAGGTCCCAGTGGCATCAGTTATGTGACTCTTATGCATGGCCAGCTCTATAACGTGTCCCTGTATTGGCCTTGCTCCTCACTGTTTTATCCACTGTCTCACTCCTGCTCCCAAGTTCATTCACTGAATAAAATACCTGCACACAAGACTTTGTTTCTGCTTTCTTTTCAGGAGAACCCATGCTAAGAATTGTGGAAAGGTGGTGAAGGTGGGAAGGAGATGCAGTGGGAGAGGCTGCTATTCTTTGGGGCGTTATCACCCAGACTTAGTCTGTTATCCAAGTTGAGGGTGCATTAGGTAAGAAACAGAACATACCCAGTCATCATTGCAGGCTGAGTCTTCTCTCTCCCCACGTGACCTGCTTCCTTCTCCCTCTGCTCTGATGTCTCCCACATCTGTTCAGCAGAGCTCCCTGACCCTACCTGCAGATGCAGCATGGCTTATGGCTTGGTATAGCAACTACTGAAGGATCCTCAACCTCTAGTCTCCAGGCAAGCCTCCAACTACACTCTGGGGTACTAGGGAGAATGGCACATCCACACTTAATAACAAGAGACTCAAAGGCATTACTTCTGATCAAGGAACTAATTTTACAAAAAATGAAGTGTGACCGGGACCCATGCTTATGGAATTCACTGGTCTTGCCATGTTCCCTGTCTTCCTGAAGAAGAGAGGGAGTCTCCACTGCTGAATCTCTTGACCTTGTTCCGTGTATCCCAGGTTCTGGAGTCAGATGAACCAGCCTGTGGTCCTGGCTCTGTACCTGTTACATGTGTGACTTTGGAGAAGGTCCTGAGTATGTATCTCTAAACCTGTTTGTCCAACTGAGAACATCAAAGGCTTCTCTGGAGTGTCAATCAGATAAAGCATGTAAAGTAAAGGACACAGTCTTGCAATTGCAATTTAAAAGATGGCAGCCATTCTAGTTACTATTCACTGGCCTTCCATACCCCAGCAGAGTTTGCACTGCCACCAGTGTGTGCCTGTATTGAGGCTCCTGTTGTGTCGTGTCTACCTGCTGCAGTCCCTTCCTCTTTCAAACAATAAACACAGTCAGATGACAATGAGTGAGACTAATGTATCTTGTGAAGAGCTATACAGGACAATAGAAATGACAGTGTTTTTGTGAACTGGTCAAATGCTAGTTAGAGGGGTTTCCAGTCCGGCAGGGGAACTGACAACAGAACCAGTTCTGAGAGGAGTAGGCAAAGATGAACCAGCAGGCGTGAACAAAGTGCTTGGGAGCCACAAACCCTGCCCCAAAGTGTGGTTCGTGGCTACTGAGAAGGCTCTTCAAGGAAGTGGAATTTTTGTCTGGACATGAATTCTAAGTCAGTGGAAAGAAAGATGAGGGAAACTGATGGGAGAGCCATTCTTTAGGGAGAATAAAAAGAAACTTTAAAAATTGTGTCAGTTAGAAGCAGGGTGATGCCCATAAAAATAATAAAATGAGAAAATAAAATTTTAAAATGGGATTAGGAATAGGGGCTAGTGTTGGTAAGACTAAGTATTAGCTTCCAGGACTCCTGGGGTGGGGCTTTCCAAAGCCTCAGGGAAAGGACATTGAGGACAAGGCCTGGAGGTTGAGAAGAGGACAGGGCACAATTGACTGGACAGTGAAGAGTTCGGGGCACACAGAGGCCTGGAGATAGCAATAAAATGACTGGCGAGGCCGCTGAATGACCAGGGTGAGGGGGTGGGTGAGCGGTGTGAGACGATTGATTGATGTAGCCACAGATAGAAAAGGAAGAGTTTAACATAGAGAGTTATGAACGACTAAGATGAGATTAGCTACTAAGGGATAAAGAGCACAGAAATAATTTTGGGAAAGGGCTCCTCACAAGGCTGAGATTTAAATCTTGCTGGAGAGTGTGTGGCTGTAGCCACTGGGTGGCAGGACGCTTTTGCTGGGTGCCACAAGCCAAAGCTGACAAGCAACGAGCTCCCCATTGAGGTGCCAGCAAAATGTTACAGGGGTGCAGTTGAACTCACTGGGAATGTGGCTGGGGTCCTGCGAGCTCACTGGGCAGCTGCTTACGTAGGGTAAGGGATGGGAGGCTGCCGAAACCCCTGGGATCCTGTGGGGGTGGCCACTGAACTCATTATGCCCTTGCCTTAGGCATGCCCAGGATGCCCTGTGTGCCCTGGAGTTGCCTCCCACACACCCAGGCTCCACCTTCGCCCAGAAGGGTCACACCTTTATACCAAACAGGCAGTCTATACCACAAAGAATAACACAGTTTCCGCAAATTCCACCTCTTAAATATTTATTAGACATTTATTGTGTCCCCTCTCCCCACTTTGTATCCCTGCCCTGGGGGGCTCACAGCCAGGTCTCCTGAGGGCAGAGTAAAGAGGAAGCTCAGTATTTCTCGGGCAGGCCTTCAGGTCGGAAGTGATTGGGGTCTTTGCCACTCCGGCCCCATTCGTTGGCAGCCTGGTCAGCCAGCGAGTCCTCCGCACCATGGCCAAAGAGTTGCTGGAGATCTTCTCTGGCATTGCTGTAGTCCAGGCACGCAGAAGGAGATTAATCACCAGGCTGGTGAGCGATAGCTCACCCTCCCACTCTCCCCAGTGCAAGGTAGAGCTCTGGGAGGAGCTCAGAAAGGCCAAGGAAGGAGGGGTAAAAACACTGACCCTGCCTGGGCACGGCCCCACTCAGCCAGGCTGGGCACCACTAGGCTGGATGAACAGCACCCAGAGACAGAGGGTGAGGAATCACTCACTCCCACCATCCACTCAGACCCTCGCACTGAGCACAGAGGCAGAGAGAGGGCAAGAGCAGGAGGGGCCGCAACCTCTAACTTCTCTACAAGGAGCTTGTCTTCCTCCTGACAGCTCAAGGCAGGCAAGCTCTGCTCACCCAGCCCTGGTATCCCAGAAGCTCAGTTACCTGATCACTCTTGCAGCCCAGGCACCCCCAGGTCCCCTTTGGGCAGCGTCATAGTTCCCCCGAGCGTGGAAGTATTTGTCTGCGCCGATGTAATTGGCCTCTCTCATGTCAGAGTAGGCTCTCCACATGTCCCGAGCCCCTGGAAAGGAAAGGAAAGGCAGAAGGGACGTCAGGAGAACATAAAGACTCTGACAACCCCTTAGAGAGGAATGAAAGAAGGACCAATCTTCCGTTGACTTCAAGCTTTCAGCCTGTGATCATAGCAGCCCTGGATACCATGGGTTGAGAAGCACATTCCTTTATCCTAGTTGGCTTCTCCAGGTCCGCTGATGAAGCTGCTTAGGATAAGATCCAGGAGTGCACATGAATGAGGTGGTGACATAAAAGACTGATGCTGAGAAAGGTGGCAGACACAGAGCACTTCTGCCCTGCCTACTAACATATATGTACTTGCAAATGGAACACACGGTATTGTGACCTGAGTTCCAGAGGCTGTTGGTAACATAAAAGTCCCTAAACGGACCCTCAATAAGTGCACTGATGCTGTGGGTGGCTTGAGGAAGCAGTAGAGCAGTGGTGCTCAGCCTTGGCTGCACCTTCTTTTTATTTCTTTATTTTTTTTAGACAAATTATTGCTGTCACCCATGCTGGAGCACACTGGCACGATCTCAGCTCACTGCAACCTCTGCTTCCCGGGTTCAGGTGATTCTCCTACCACAGCCTCCTGAGTAGCTGGGATTACACGTGCCTGCCACCATGCCTGGCAAAATTTTCATATTTTTAGTAGAGACACGGTTTCACCATGTTGGTCAGGCTGCTCAGGAACTCATGACCTCAAGTGATTCACCCACCTTGGCCTCCCAAAGTGTTGGAATTACAGATGTGAGCCTCAGCTGCAGTTTCTAATCACCCAGAGAGAAACTGAAAGTTCCAATGCACAGGTCACACCCCAGAACAGTTTCTGCAGACTTGTTGGGGAGTTGCAGGCATGAGTAGTTCAGGTGCCTCCAAGGAGTGGCTGAGATTCATAACCATCAAGCTCTGGGATGTGATCGGTGAGGCATCTACCTGGCAAGAGCTCTGGCTTCAACCATAGCCGGGCTCAAACCCTGGCTCTGCCATCGGCTAACTGGCAGTAAGTCCCTGGGCATCAGCCTCAGCTGCTCTAAACCTCAGCTTTCTCACCTTCAAAGAGGGGAAGGTGCCCGCCTCACAGAGTCATTCTGAAATTAAGTGAAAATGCTCTGGTCCTTGTGGGAGCTTGCTGCACGTCAGTTCCCATCTCCTGTCAAGAGGGCTGGGGAAGGAAAGGAAACAGAACAAACCAGGAAGGGAGCCCCTGGCAGAGCAAGGCTAAAGGGCCCTGGACATTATCCCACTAGGAACTTGAAGGAGGAAGGAGAAAGAAGACAGAAGTGTCAACAGCCTCAGTGAAACTCTTATGCGATTTGTGCTGAGGGCTATTTTACACAATTGCAGACCTTATTTTGCATCTTGTACTCAAAACAAACAGCTCAGCTGCTCCTGGGAAGGATGATTGTTTTTTGTCTGAGTAACTGACTGACAATAATCCTCAACCCTCTAATCTGTTTAGCAGCTCCCCAGACACCTGTTGAGCAGCACAACCTAAGGTAGCGGCTCAAACCTTAAGAAAGCAGGAAAATACCGCATGTGGGTTGTTACTGGATTCCCTGTCCCTTATGCCCCAGCAGATGCATTTTTGATAAACCTTGCAGCGGCTTCTGTAACATGATGGATCCACTGAACACACCCTGAGAGCCTGCACTACGGGGAAAGGAGATATTTCTAGGAGCTCTGAAGGACCGAGATGGGCAATCCAGCGAACCCTAGCTCTTGGCAGGCCTTAGCAACACAGATACTAGCAACTCTCTGGTTCAAAAGCAGCCTTCTGGAAGCGTCATTTCCCCATTTTATCAGGTCCAGGGTGGTGTTTCTCTTCAGAAATCCTGCATACCTTCTGAATACTTACCACCAAAAGCCTCGCGAATGAATGAAAACCAGCTGTGGACACCCAGAACCAAAGAGCAGAAAACCAGGCCCGTGAGAAGCTTCATGGTGCTGAAATGAGAGGAGAGGTCAGGCAGTCGCCTACAAGACCGGCACACCTTCCCTTGGGACTTATATTCTAATGAGAGCCTCGTTATTTCCACTGGCTCTTATTAGAATCTTAGTGGCTCATCTAGGAAACCTTGTAACAGGACCTCACTCAGCGCCAGAAGCCCTCGGTTCTGAACCCATCAGCCCTGACTGTGTAAGAGGATGCCAATGTGGCATTGATGGAGGAAGGCAGCAGTTATGACCAGACTCCCTCAAGCAGCCTGTAATTCCCCACAACCCATGGACCATGGGTTCCCTCTGCCCAGCACAGAGCTCACACAGGATAAACACAAAGCAGGATCACTATTTTTCATTCTTAAAGCCTTTAGCACCTGGGATTCCCAGGTGGTCCCTCATCCAAGTACTACCAGGCCTGATCCTGCTTACCTCCCTAGATCAGAGGAGCTAAGACACCTTCAGAATGGTCTGGCTGTAGGCCCCAGGATGACTGTTTTTTTTTTTTTTAAAGGAAATGATAATCTTTTTGGGAAAGAGAAAACATAAAGTTTAAAAAAAAAATCACTCCTTGGCATACTCCTCACCTGATCTGTGCTGGAGCCGAGCTGCTGGTCCCTGCTGCCAGGGAGAGGTGGCTGCTATTTATACTGAGCCTTCCCTGCTGGGCTCATGGGAGGGAAGAAAAGCTGGATGTGGTCCCTGGTGAAAGTCCCTGCAGGTCATTTCCCCGACAAAAGGGTCTAAGACAAGTTCCTGGATGCCAGTGGTTTCTTCATCCTGGGTCATTTATCCCAGTTGTGCAACCAGAGGGAACAAGACAGGTTTGCTGTGCCTTGGCAGCTGTCAGGGCAGACCAGCTCTGCTCCTTAACACTGGGGGAGCTGAGGCTGCAGAGATGAGAGTGAGGGCCCTGTGATGGTGGCACCCAGGCTGCTGGACGGTGTGGAATGATGGGTCTTCAGCCAGCTCCTGACTGTACCAGTCATTTCCTCAGGATGGTCCCTGCTGGGCTGAGATGTGTGTCTACAGCCTGCGGAAGTCTGACCTGCAGACCCTGACTCAACGACAGATGAATGAATTCACTCACACCATTACGGTGCTTCAACCAGGGATGGATGTCGGCTGCTTTCAGAGGGTGAAATGCAACCAATCAACCCAGACCCTCTGTCTGTCATAGATTTGTTCCCAAGATTTTAAAATAGAGGTTCTAAGTTAATACTCTTGTGGATAATTAACCACTCTTGTGGTTATACGACTGACAAAAGCTTTAGGTTCGGAGACCCAGAGTAAATGCTATTAGCAGGAAATTCCCCTTTGATCTTCCCAGGAGTGGGCCACCCAGCACAAAATTAACTTGAGTGAACAGTTGAATGGAGACAAATGGGTGTGGGGTAAGGCCTTTGATCATCTCTATCTCTCCCCAACTTAACAGAGTGGACCAGCAGGCCACCTTTGGCCTGCTCCAATAAAACCTTTTGGCCTTCCAAAAGGTTTGAGAATATATTCTATAACTTTCCCTAATATATATTTAATATTTTCCAACCACCCCGAGTGAATCTCAACACTGGGCCACATGGTAGATGCCTCTGAAATGAAGACCCTCTGAGTTCATGTCCAAAGCTTCAAAACTGACAGATTAGGTCCAGCACAGTGGCTCACTCCTGTAATTTCAGTGCTTTTGGAGGCCAAGTCAGGAGAGTCACTTGGGGTCAAGAGTTTAAGATCAATCTGGGTATAATCGTAAGATCTTGTGCCTGCAAAAAATAAAAATAAATGAACCGGGTGTGGTGGTGTGTACCTGCAGTCCCAGCTACTCGAGACGCCGAGGCAGGAGGATTGCTGGAGGGCCCAGCAGGTCAAGGCTGCAGTGAGCTATAATGATGCCACTGTACTCCAGCCTGGGCGACAGAGCAAGACCTTGTCTCCAAAACAAAATAAAACTGACAGCCTAGTCCTGCCATGTCTCATGTGTGCCCTGGAAGGCTTCTTTCACCCCTCTGTCTAAATATCCCGAGATTCACCTCCTTGGCACAGAAAATCCCTGCTCAGCAGGCCTAGCCAATTAGCAAATGCGTCATGTAAGCTGGCTCCTGAGCTGGTGGCAATATAGAGAAGGGGACTTTCTGCTGCCCCAGCCTGGTCCTGGAACCCCACATTGGGAGACTGAAAGTGTGGTGCCATCAATTGGCAACCCAGCTGGGGCAGTGCCAGACTTCCAGGCAGGGGAGGGTTGGGGAGCTCTTGGTCTGCTGTATTACCCTGGAAGGGTGCAGGGGGCTCCCAGGTCATTGTCTCATGGGAATATCAGCAGGGTCAGACTAGTTCTGCAGAGGCTGGTGGGGGAGCATGGTGGTCAGAGAGGGGTCAGTGCCAGAGCCCAGCAGGGCTGAGGCCAGGACATGCAGAGAGGCTGGTGGACATAGCAGCTCCTCTGGTTTCTTCTTCTCCAGTCCATTTTCACTCTCGGTGTTTCTTTCCCTCCCTCCCTCCCTCCCTCCCTCCCTCCCTCCCTCTGTTCCTTCTTCCCTCCCTCCCTCCCTCCCTTCTTTCCTTCCCTTTCCTCTCCTCTCCTCTTGTCTTGTCTTCTCTCCTTTCTTTTCTTTCTTATTCTTTGAATTTCTTTCTTATTCTGGGCTGGAGTGCGGTGGCACGATGACGGCTCACTGCAGCCTCAGCTTCCCAGGTTTAAGTGATCCTTACATCGCAGCCTCCCAAGTAGCTGGGACTAGAGTTATTTGCCAACACGTCTGGGTGATTCAAAAAAATTTTAGTACAGCCTGGGCAACACCATGTTGCCCAGGATAGTCTCAAACTCCTAACCTGCAATCCTCCTGCCTTGGCCTCCCAAAGTGCTGAGATTATAGGCATGAGTTATCATGCCTGACCAGAAGTTCATATCTGATTGCTTCTATGTTTCACTGAAATAGGAAGCCAAGTTGTCAACTGAGAAGAGAATGAATGAGGAGTTATGGGAAGTTTCAGGAGAGCAGAGAAGTAAAAAGTGGTCATCTAAGAGAGAAAGAATGTGATTGAACTTGAGAAAGGTAGTGGATTGTATAGTAGCTCAAGATTAATGACCACAAATTTAAAGTGAGACAAGTCATAGCAGTCATGTTTTTTTCTGATCACATTCAGCTGCCAAGTTTCAGACTTTTAGCAAGTGGCAAATTGGATATCACTGTGCAATACGTGCTTGTTTTAGTTGCATGAATGAACACATGCAAAGGTCAAAGGCGGAGAATACATGCAAAGGTCAAAGGAGGGGAATTCATTTAAAGATGAGGGAGGGTTATAGAGCACAGGGAGAAAGTTAACAGAGAGAGTGACTGAGAGTAAAAGATAGGGCATAACATAGACTTCAATGACCAAGGGCCCACAGGGCCACTGGGGACGAGGCTGCCCAGAGCGTAGCAGGAGCAGATCTTCCTCTGAGACAGGAAGGAGAGGAGAGAGAACAAGGAAGATGCATTTTGAAATGGAGGACAGAGGGGCTGGGTGCCATGGCTCACGCCTGTAATCCCAGCACATTGGGAGGCCAAGGCAGGGGAATCGCTTGAACCCAGGAGGCAGAGGTTGCAGTGAGCTGAGATCGTGCCACTGCACTCCAGCCTGGTGACAGAGCAAGACTCCACCTAAAAAATAAAAATAAAAAAAATAAATGGAGGGCAGAGATCCTGAGGGAAACCAGCAGGCCCCGTCCTTTACCTGTCATAGGACTTATCGCTGTCTACCTGTTGGCATTTCTGAGTTTGACCCAGAGTGCACAAAACACAGGTATAGAAGCCTTGTCAGGCTTATTGACAGATGAACTGTTGTCTCTTTAACACCAAACACAGCACCTCACCTGTAGCAGGTTCTCAGTAACTTTTATTGATTAAATGAGTCAATGCGTGAGTGAAGTAGGAGAAGTCATCTGCAATAGATCGATAGTTTGAAGGTTAAGAAGAATGGAAAAGCTTTGCAACAATGATGTATAGTCTTAGTCATTTAGAGATGAACATGGATATTGTTAAGATTCAATAAAGTATCAGCCTAGTTGAAATGTTTACATTCATTGTCAAAAAACATATTTAGAAGGCAAACCCTTATCACCTCTCTGAGGCTCCCAGAGAGATGTTATGAGGCATCATCTTCTGGGTCATGATGGCTTCTTAACTGGCTTCCACATTTCCACCTTTGCCGCCAGCTAGTCTCTTCTCAATATAGCAGCCACACTGTTACAACACAAGACAGCTGCTATCACTCGCAGCTCAAAACTCTCCAGAGGATTCCACTTCTACTCACAGTTGAAGACAAAGCCCTTATAATGGTTTCCAAACTTAAACTGACCGAGCTCCTGCCTCTCGTACCTTATCTAATCCACTTCTTTCCTCTTGCTCCGGCTCATTTTGCTCCGGCCACACTAGTCTGCAACCCTCCAGGCACATCATACCACAGGGGCATTGGATTAGCTGTTCCTTTCCTCTGGAACATTCTTTTCCCAGATATTTGCATATTGGGGCTTTGAGGGAGCCATGATCTGGGAATCCAGGATATGGGAAGGTCCAACAATGTAGTTATTGTCAATAAGAATATTGGCGGCCGGGCGCGGTGGCTCAAGCCTGTAATCCCAGCACTTTGGGAGGCCGAGGCGGGTGGATCACAAGGTCAAGAGATCAAGACCATCCTGGCCAACATGGTGAAACCCCGTCTCTACTAAAAATACAAAACATTAGCTGGGCATGGTGGCGCATGCCTGTAATCTCAGCTACTCAGGAGGTTGAGGCAGGAGAATTGCCTGAACCCAGGAGGCGGAGGTTGCGGTGAGTCGAGATCGCGCCATTGCACTCCAGCCTGGGTAACATGAGTGAAACTCTGTCTCAAAAAAAAAAAAAAAAAAAGAATATTGGCAGTGAATATTTTGGAAAAAGGGCTGTAAATGAACTGTAAAAATTTCTGATGACAATGGGAGAGGATTGGAGTGTTTTGTCAACAAATAGAATAAAGAGATACTTTGTCTCCAAATATCACCAAGCAAATTATCTAAGCAGAAGCATCTAGTGGGTATTTAAAGAATACAGAGTCTAGGCTGCCTCACACCTGTGGCTCACACCTGTAATCCCAACACTTTTGTAGGTGGAGATGGAGGATGGGTTAAGGTCAGGAGTTTGATGGCAGCCTGGGAAAATAGTGAGACTCCATCCATTTTTACAAAAAAATTATCAATTAGCTGGGCATGGTGGCATGCTCCTGTTGTCCTAACTACTTGGGAGGCTGAGGTGGGAGGATCACTTGAGCCCAGGAGTCTGAGGTTACAACGAGCTATAATTGCACCACTGCACTCTAGCCTGGCAACAGAGTGAGATGCTGTATAAAAAAAAAGCAGATTCCTAAGCCAGAATCTTGGAGGTCTTGATCGCAGTTAAGCATGTTGGGGGTGATCTTCAGGAATTGGTGTTTGAAAATCTCCCTGTTTGGAATGACTTGTGCAGATAAACGGTAAAACTGGAGAGAAGGAGGTAATGCATTTATCAGGGACTTCAAAGAGGACACATCATAGAGATTTGGGGGCGAAGAAAGAAGAAATGGTCGTGGGGAGCAAAGAGGACAAGGACCCCTCTTTCCCATTCTATTGTTTAGGAGGAATTGCAGGAGGCATACCC